TATGAAGTGACTTACTAAGGGAACCACTTCAGGATACTGGCAAATTAAGCACTCCTTTGCCTTGTCTTAAAGGGCCAGTTGAAAAACTGTCTGCAGCTGAATCTGCTGCCATGGATTCTGCTGAAGGCAATGGAGAGAGTGTTCTGAAGTTTCTGTTTTATTAAGCCACTTGACAATGTCAGAAATTCCGACCAGAAGGTGTCTTGACAGCCAGGAAGGTTTACTTATGGTCCGTTTCCAGCATTTGTGCTGGAAACAAATCAAACCAGAATGATCCTACTCACACAAAAAAGTACCGTATTTTTCCGTACGTGAAATGATACTTTTATCTGAAATCTTTAGACTAAAATTTGAGGGTTGTCTTATACACAGAAGTAAGGGGGAAAGGGGTCAAAGCGCTGCAGGATCACAGCACTTTGATTCTGCAGCCCTTTGATCGCTGCCTTCCCTGCCACTTCCTAAGCTCCGTGGGGCTTATGAAGTGGCAGGGAAAGCAGCAATGAAAGGGATGCAGGATCAAAGCGCTGTGATCAAAGGGCCGCCCACGGGGCTTACGAAGTGCAGGGAGAAAGCAGTCATGAAAGGGCTGCAGGATCAAAGGGCTGCGATCCTGCTTTCCCCCTCCACTTCCTGCTTTTGTGGGGCTTAGGAAGTGGAGGAGGAAAGCAGTGATCAAATTTTCTTATTTGGGGTTTGAAAAGTAGGGGTCATCTTATACATTGGGTCATCTTATACTCAGAAAAATACGATAACACTCTGTGGATGGGCTAGTATGCTACAGCAAAATCATGTGATCACACTCTTGAGAAATGAACCAGCCTATCCCCGCAGTGGCCTGAACAGTGGGACGAAAGCCTGTGTAGTCAGTCTCTAATTTTGTTCACCTTAATTCTGCCAGCCAGTTGTGTGTTTTAACTAACTGAACTAATGTTCTTTTATTTTTCCTGCTGTCATGGGCCTCCTTTTATCACATAGAGACTTTGGCTGCTATTGTCATGCTAAGATGGTTTGTGTATTGTCTGGGATCATTAACCTTCCTCCTTTGCTACATTTTAAAAAGGAAGTCACCTTATTCTGCCAGACCCTCTGATTTTGTTTGTTTGTTTACTAATTTGGGTACTCATTACATTATTTTTGTGATGGTGTAATGAACGAAAACAGATTAAATGGTGATATTTATCAGGAATTGTACCATGGTGGAGAATTATTCCACTTGGGAAAATAAATGCTGATGAATGCTGAAACTACAAAACATTGGCGTAGCACACAGTGTCAGTCCTAGCTAGAACAGACCCATTGAAAGGAATGATACAGTGGACCCTCTACTTACGGAATTAATCCTTATTGGAACAGTGGCTGCAGGTCGAAAAGTCTGTAGGTCAAGTCTCCATTGACCTACAATGCATTGAAAACCGATTAATCCCATAACCAGCCATTTTTGTTCCATTTTTGTTTTTTTCTGGTCTGTAGGTTGATTCTCTGGCTGCAAGTTGAACCTAAATTTTGCAGCCATAGAAGTCTGTAACTTGAAAAGTCTGTAAGTCGAGCAGTCTGTAAGTCGAGGGTCCACTGTATTTGTTAGGCTAACTAAGGCTTGTTGATTTCAGTGGGTCTGCTTCTTGTTGGACTAATTTTGAATTTAGTTCTACCTGTCCTGTGATACACCTGGTTTAAAACATAAACTATCAACCCTTTTGAAATTAGCCAATATTATGGTATCAGTCGTTACATGTGTTAATGCTTTGATTTTAGTGTCTACTGTAATATGGTTGAATCATGTTGTATGAAAACCTAGGGTTATTAGTAAACGGAAATGACATATTGCATTCAAGTTTGTATAGCAGCTGTAACAGTACAATCCTATACACATTTACCTAGGAGTAAGCTGCATTGAATTCTCAATGAGGTTCTCTCCAGAGAAGACGTGTGTAGGGTATCAAGAATATACAAAGCCTAGCATGTTGAGCATTGCTTCTTATATCAGTGACTTCAAGGAGCACAATGTGTACATGTATTCACTAGGAGATCATTCTGACACCCAATAATTTTGTTTGATGTATAATCATCTTGTATAAATAGTATTGGTGATAGTTTTATGAAAGTAATAAATGCATTATTACTCAAAGTTTCAGTTTAATTCCTTCATTAGGTAGGCAAGTGTTACTGAATTATCTTCAGAACAAAAAATATGTAGACATAGAAAATCTTTTATTTTTAATTGCTGGAGTTTGCCAGAAGCTAAAAAGGGTTTAAAAGTATTGTGTTCTCTTACTGTTTGCTAAAATCAGGGCAATTTGAATATGACAAATATCTTCATTACCTAAAACAATGAGTACAATGAAAATCTTTTTTTTAAGTAATTTTAAGAAGTTATATATTTTATAATTCAGGAAGTGTTTTTAAGAAAATGTCTCACAATCTGCACGTGCTGTAAGAATACTAAATACTAGCTTTTTTTCCTTAAAGGTGTTCAGTTTTCCTACCTTGTTATCTGTAAGTTTGATTTCATGTAATAATTTCATTGAGTTAAATTAGTGTTGGTTCTACCTGGAGGACATTGATTCATTGGCTAAGAATTAGGTGGCACACACCATTGATGTGGAGTAGGTGTTCTTTGGGGGGTGGACACCCGAAGGGCAGCACCAAGTGCCCCAAATAGTCACGGAACACAGAATATCGCCTTCTGAGACCGGTGGAGCCTTTCTCCTCTTAGCGGTCTGTGTGGTCTGCATGTTGTATAGCAAAGGATCTTCATCAACCTTCATGTGTTCTTATAAAAGAAAGTGTGTCAGCAGTCTCCTTGTAATTTCAGTTCAGTTTAGGAAGGGGGACAGATCAGAAAGCTTTGATGTAATGATTTGTCTTCTGTATTCTAGGAGTCCATGCCCCTAAGCTGTATTTTTATATCAGTGTTTATATTAGTGCTTCTGCCTGCAAATACTCACATGCAACTGCACGTGAGAATCCCTCCCGCAGTTTAGCTGTGGAACAGATTTCTGGTGAGTTTGGGAGAAAGGGACATGTGCAAAGGAAACTCAGAAGGAGGGCAGGTTCAAGGTTTGAGGTTCAAGGTTGTATCTAAACAGTCTAAATAGATTACTCCATAGTCCAGTCAGCAAGCAATCCTAAAGCAACAGTGTTTTGTATATGATAAGGGCTTTTGCTTTTGACTTTATTTGACAGACAGATAACTTGAACACCTTCCAAAAGGCATTTAAGCAAATTGCTTTGTGGCAAGGCAACAGTCTGGTAAGAGGGAAGTTTAGAATGTGATTTAAACCACTGGTTCTTAACCTTGGGTTACTCAGGTGTTTTTGGACTGCAACTCCCAGAAGCCTTCACCACCAACTGTGCTGGCTGGGGTTTCTGGGAGTTGCAGTTCAAAAACATCCGAGTAACAAAGGTTAAGAACCACTGATTTAAACAGATATTCGTGAACAAAGCAGCTAGATAGGGATGAGCTAGGAGACGGGACCAGATAAGCTCAATTAATAATGAAACCACTTGGATGTGAGAGATGTCAGAGAAAGCCTGGCTATGGAATCAACAACAAAAAAGGGGATTGAACTAGGCTAGGTCACCTGCAAGAGTCTTAAGAATGTTTTTGAAGATGTTGGTAGAAGCCAATAGCCATTCTAGGATGGACTTGTTTCTTTATCAAGCTGTTCATTGGTTAAAATCCTGTGTTGTATGTTGATACCCTGGAGTCATATACCTGTTCAATATACTGTAATATTAAGCAGATTAACTACTAAGCTTTATCAAATAAACATCTGTTTCAGTGCTGGAATCTGTCTCAGTTTACATTTACTGTATACCCAAGTCAGAGGATAAATTGATAGATTAAAAAATGAAATGTCATCAATTTTAGCATAGGTGATAAATTGTATAAATTACAATTATTTGCCATATAAAACATTGGGATTGCATAAAGTTTTTGTTGCTCCTGGTCTCAGTCTTGTTACGAAACTCCTGTCTTCAGAGGCAGAATGTCACAACCTCATACAATACAGACTAAATGGATTGCCTGGATTTTGTGTACCTAAATGAGTCAAATTCTTTCCACTCCTTTGCTATTAGAAATAGTTAGGATACAAAAATTTGTCCTGGTATGGAGTGTGCCACTGTGGTATTTCCCTTGATTAAACATTTTTGAATAATGAAAAAGAAAATTGAAGATTAAAGAAAGGCTAATAAAATTTGACCATATCACCGTCAGCCATCACAGAGCATGGCTTTGTGAATAATTAACTCTTGAACACTGGCAAGAAACAAACAAACAAAATCTGTATAGAAACTACATTTAAAATATTCCTTGCTTTCTGTTAGTGGTAGTGCATTTGCAGGGATAGTTTCCTTGATCATGTGAAGTGTATTACATTTATATGAGTTTAACCATTTGCTCAGTAAATTACATCTGGTGTCTTCAGTTCTTTCCAAACATATGGTGAATCAAAACATAATATTTTGTAGTTTCTTCAACATTAGATAGGATTTTTTTAAAGGTAGAAGTGCTAGAACATCAGGGGAACAGGCATTTTCATAAGTAATTTCATTCCAGAATTTTGTTTGCTTATGTAAATAAAGTAATTGCTCTGTTTGTTGGTCTTTAGGGAAAAAATGACACATACTGTAATTACATTTCCAAACTTAACATTTTGAAATTTTATTAAGTATTGGAAATCATGTATGTAAGTATTTGTGAAGAGTGGGCAATAGTATTACTCACCCATTAGGATGTTCTCAGTATTTGAAGATCTCATTGTGCCACATAAAGAGATTGTTGTATCATTTTGCTCAGTGATGAACCCTATAGCTCAAACATTTTGTACCCCCTGTCTCAGAAAACAGAACAAGTTTGTACTTTAAACAGCAGTTGAATAGTTACTGCACGTATTACTGTAAGGTGACACTCTGCATTGCTTTGCATATCTCCCCTTACTTAAGGAATGGGAAAACTGATTTCAATTTATTTTTTCCCCTCTCTTCTGTCATTTCAGGACTATACGTTGACAATGTACTTTCAGCAAGCATGGAGGGATAAGAGGCTTTCGTATAATGTAATACCTTTAAATCTTACACTGGACAATAGAGTAGCAGATCAGCTTTGGGTTCCTGATACCTACTTCCTGAATGACAAGAAGTCATTTGTACATGGTGTCACTGTGAAGAACAGGATGATTCGTTTACATCCAGATGGGACGGTTCTCTATGGCCTCAGGTCAGCATCAAACATTTTAAACAACATATCTGAACCTTAAGACTAATTCTTCTTTTTTTTTATCTTCCTTCCTAGCTTTTCATAACATGGGTTTGTACTCTTTCCCAAGTAGCTTGGGACTCATTTTTCTGTCTTAATTACTTTGAGAGATGATGAGCTTTACAGAGACAAAAACAAGAAAGAAGGAAGAGAAGGGGTGTTTTGGCCAAGCTGTTGAGCGAATTGTGATAGAGTAGCATGATGTTGTGTATGCTTGCTTGGAAGTAAGTCTTAGAGAGTTAGGATGTGACTGCACAGCAGGAAAAATCATGTTCATCTCACAGGAATTGGCAGAGAGAGTGGAGGAAATTGCCACCCTGCACTTATTAGCACCTTGTTAACATTGCTCTATACTGCAGGTCTCCAGATTTGTACAAGGCATGACTACAATAGAGCTACCTTAAGCTGCAAACAAGCTTGTAATCAGTTTCTTCCTCTCTGCTGATTTCCTGCTTGTGCTTCATGTAGTTGGTGGAAAATAATGCAAATCAGATGGTCTCAGCCCTATTATTTTTCAATCTAGTCACCCTCTTAGACTTATTTCTAGCTAAGTGGTTAGCCCAGACTAGTGTCTGGTAAGGAAACAATGATGAAAAGAAAGGCTGTTTCTGATGGTGTACTTTTTATAGTAAACTTGGATATTCTAACGGCATCTACCTTCACCACACAGGCATCACATATTTATACAGTACAGCCCCTCCTCCTGATGTCCCGCCTTCCACTCCCCATAGGATGGAACTTTCCCTCCAAACCCATGACAGACAGGTAACATCAGTGCTGTTATGTAACACTAACCACAAATACAAGAACTGATTTTGTGCTGGAGACATTCTTTTCTATGTGTTTGATTACAAATTAGTTATATCTAACTAAAATTGAGGGATGGGGTATTATTATCTTGACCGCTTAGCTACACAGCAGCAGCATATTTGACCTTGGCTATCGTTAATGTTCAGTGGGTAAGAACGCATTACAGTATCCATGTAGCGTGTGAGAATTTTACTTCTTTAATTTTTATCATTGTCACATTTCAAGTGAGTTTGGTTAAACAACAAACCAAAAAAAGTAAGTTCTGGTCGCTTACAGGTGCTCTTGACTGAGCATGCTGTGGTTTTAACTGTGGAATTCAATGCAAAGTGATCACTCTGTGTCAGAGATAATAAACTCAAATCACTGTTCCAGATAAGTGATTCTGCTAGACTCTGGTCTCTGAGAAATCGTGAAGACTATGTTTACCCCTTGCTGATCAATCACAAAACAGAGCCAGCCAATTTGAAAATGACATGAGCCTTGGACAGCTCCTGCTTTATCAGATATTTTAATGACTTAAAAGAATTTCCTCTTTTACTAAGCTAGCAGGAAGATATAATTGAGTCTTCATATTTGTGGTGAGAACATGCAGAGCCATGCTTCCAGAACTGTCTTTTGCAAAGACCATTTTGGAAGCCCAGTTATTGCATTTCTGTTGCAAAGTAACAGAGAAGTGTGTTTGCATGTAGAGATTTGTACTGTACAAAGAGAGAAGCTTCAGGGAAGGGAATATTTAACCTTTCTCCAGGATTTGTCTCATCTGATGGTGGAGACACATCTGGGAAGAGTGTAGAGTTCAACAGTTATGGAAAAGTCAGGAAATTGTTCAGTGTCTCTCCCCCTCCCCCCAGCCCGGCTGCTTGCCCCTTACAAGTCCTTCATTGCTCTCTTGCAGCAGACAGGCAGCAGGCTGGATTACTCGACGCGTGTTTGCCGTAGAATCTCTGTTTAGTCATGAAATACCTGAACCAGAGTCCTACAGTGAAAATAAGGGTTATATCTCTAGTAGTTTTTATAACTTGCCAACTGCCTGTTGCACAACTCACTGTGAATTAGGACACAACTGAACATGTGATGGATGGATGACAATGTAGCACACACTGCTTGCACAGTTGTCCATTTGTACCCTACAAATCCAGCAGGATTCTGGCCTTTATGTTCAGTGCTCAAATTCCTTTGTCTAGATGATAGAACATGGCCTTCTTGTAAACAGAAAAGGGGAAAATAATTTCTGCATAAGATGAGTTCCTTTAGAAGAGCAAGCTAATTTCTTGTTTCCATGGTGTTGTGACATGTTCAGTGATTCAACATTTGGCCTCCATGAACTTCTGAGAGTTTAATGGAAGCTGAACTTGTGTGAGCAATCTTTTCCTCTGCTTTGACTTGACAGAAGAAATATAGGGGATGTAGCATTTAGTTCATTTTTAATGTAGCTGAGGACATATTTGTGTGATCAAGAAACAGGAACGTCTAACATGTAACAACAGTGACATCATATAATTGATGGTTTCTTGTTACGAATGTCATTGCCTCTTTACACTCAGCTTTGAAATCAGAGCATATTTTAATGGCATTAATCCTGTATTAGGAAGAAAATAATAGGACGTAGACTCTTAAGTTTAAACTATTATTGAACATAGCAGGGCTGATACATAGATATAAAAGCAGAGTTAGAATAATGTCTGCATTGTTTATAAAGCTAGTTCCTCCTAAAAAGTCCAAGTTCCTCTCACAAAGATTGTATTGGTATTTGAATTAGAAGATTAGTTTAAGTTCATAGGTACCTGGCTATACCATCTCTGTGTCTAAAAAGAGGAACTCTGATGAACTGCTGTATGTTAAAATTGGTGAAGTGTTTATTGATACTTTAATTTGAGCTTAATTATTTATACACTTCTTTGCAACCTACTGTCTTTGCACACTGTGTGAGTTAATGCATGGAAAGAAGCATTTTGTTCTTTGTTTTTATTAGAAGGTTTGAGTGACTTCCTTTTTCCCCCAGTATTTTGTGGCCGTCTACTCAAGTAGAGCACAATTCTATTGGAATGTTTGGACACCAGCTCCTTTGACTTTGCCATTTGCCTAAACAGATGGAAAACATGTTACACGACCAAAGGGAGATGTCAAAAATCAAACCACAAGGAAAGGAATGACATGCAGGCTTTAAAAAAATGTATATTATAGAATAATAGATCCTAGATGTTGGAATTACTTAAAGAATTTGGCCTAGGCACTAGATACTAGATCACTGCTGTTTCTGGAGACGCTTATGGTCTTAGGGCTTGTAACGGGAAAGGCATCCCAGCCCTCTAGCTTTCAGATTATGGCTTTTCTCTGAGGGTATAAAATGTTTGAATACCACTCCTTTTCAATATGAGCTGAAATCTGAATCAGCTTGGATGAGAAGAGTAATAGTGCTTATCATTTATATAGACTTTGCATATCTGCACAAAGGTCAAATACTTCATTTTAGTAATGCGTTACTTTCTTTCTGCTAATTATCTTAAGCTGGGAGACAATGCCTTGCTTGAAGCTACACAGGCAGTCTGTAGCTGAGATGAGAAGTGAAGGGGGACTTATTTGTAGCAAGGTTGTGAGCAGGATGTTTTCATAGAATTTGGAAATAGAGACTTGTCCTGTTTCTGAATCATTTGTATAGCTGCTACAGTTTTGTGATCAGCAAAACGTTAACCATATCTGTCTTAATGACCCCATAACTTCCTCCTCCTCCTCCTCCTCCTCCTTCTACTTCCTCCATTCCATTCTTATGCTCTATGGACCCCCGGAGGGCCGTGATGTCCCCCATATGTGGTCTGTGAAGGCTTGAAGAAATGTTACTATCTTTTGCAGTTAAAATAGAATGAAAGAATGAAGGAAAGAAAAATAAAGGTACAACAAAATCTTAATTCCCCTTGCTTGTTTCTGTAAAACTTGGCTTTTCTAACCTATGCCACCATTTTTTTAAATAAGTAAAAATAGGTTATGAAAATAGCAGTTTGATAGCAAATAACTGATATTTCTGCACACAGTGATAATGTGCAGGAGAATGACTCTGATTGACTAAGAGACAGCACATTACATCTCTTGCTACTGCATAGACAGAAGCTGTGGAAAGAGAGATGGAGTCAGTGTCAGTGTGTGAGTGTTCAGACAGTGATTATGTTTCTTCTTCAATTTCTCCTAATAAAACCATTTGGTTATTGTTGGGTAAAGAGTCTTTTCAAAACTATTCACTTCATAGCAATACATTTTGGCTGAGCCTCAGAATGGATCACTGGCTAAATTAGAAACATAAAAGAATTGATGCTGTTGATGAAGGTGTTTTCCAGTCATCTTAAAAAGTGTCACTATTATAGAAAGGAATATTTGTCAATTAACTTCAAGTGTACAGGTCCCAAAGAAAAGCAACTACCACAGTGTGTGTTGTGTTATGAGATATTGTCCAACAAGGCCATGAAATCATCAAAATTGTGAAGACATCTCAATACTAAACACAAGGAACATGCTACAAAGTTCATCATGTTTTTCAAAAGTAAGGAGCATTAGCTTCGGAAAAGTTAATGGTAAAAAAGACTGCAACTGGTTGTAACAATGAAAATGCATTGAGAGCCTCATTTGAAGTTTCTCAACTAATAGCAAAACCCGGAAAACTACACACAATACCTGAAGAACTTATATTACCTGATGCAAAAATCATGGTTATTGCATTGATCAACAAGAAGGCTGCTAGGAACCTTTCCTTAATACCTTTGTCAAATGACATAGTTAAGAAGTGAATCGACAGTTTATCAACCAATATCAAGGAACAATTATTAGAAAGAATTTTCACACACCCCTATTTTGCACTGCAATTGGACAAAAGCACAGACATAACAAACAAAGCGACCTTACTGTGCTATGTTAGATGTCAGCATGAGAGAAATGTTTTCAGAGACATTCTGAAACGTTCATCTCCTTGTTGGTACACACTATAGTTAAAGAAGTATTTAACAGCTTAAACAGGTTTATAACATTTCAAGACATAGATTGGTTGAAATGTGTTGGAATTAGCACAGACAAGGCATGAACAATGTCTGGAAAGCTTACTGGACTTGTAGCACAGATTAAGGAAGTCATATAGTTGGTGACTTGCTGCATACATAGGGAAGCTC